GAAAAAGGACTAGTAATAATTACCAAATTTCATCATCCAAATCAGGAATATTTATAGCGTAATCATATTTGAAGAATTTTAAGCAAGTACAAAAACAACACGGTATGTTTCTGAAATGCCTATATATGCCCTATAAAGGATGTTCAAGTTATATTCAAGATAGCCAAAGAGTATCTACAGAATATATGAAGATAGCGACTTGGAAAGTTCGAACAATATTTAGATCCTAAGTAATACACACAAAAGTTTGTCTGGCTCTAATTGGCTGAAGTAGAATCTGGAACGAGCAGTACAACTAGCAATACTTGCAACGTGCATTGCTTAGATGTTTGCATCCTTGACAAAAGCCAAATCTTTTCAGGGTGGGAAAAAATAGATTCTCACCAACGTAATATCTGTGCGTTTGTCTGGGAATTATTTGTATAACTAATTCTCAGCATTTTGAAATATTTGGTGGTATTCTTTGTTTTTCTAGATTCGTCTCTGGATGCGCCCAACTGACGCCATCAAATCCACAGCCCGTTCGGCTTTTGTTTCTAGTTTCTATGGAGATGCCGAATAACAGCAGGCGCTCCGAATGATATGTAGTAGGACCGGTAAATTGAATACCGTTCAATGTAGACACTTTAAAATAACATTAAACTCAGATGTCAAATGTTCTAAATTTCATTAAGTTACAGTTTGTGTGACTAATGCAAGCTAGTGTGATGCCCAAGTAGTTGTCCAATATCAGCTTGATCAAAGCCATTGATGGAAGCATCATTGAGGCAATATAAAGGAAATTGAGCCAGTGCCCAGTGCCTAGCTATTATAACTTATGCGCTAATTCGTTACAACTTAATCAACGAGATTGTCTTACAGAGATCCCGGCTTAAAATCAAATGCTGTATCTAACCAATACACTAAAATGACGGATATGACTAAAAACAGTGTTGTTCAAGACCATATAAAAGAATTAGGAGTGACAAGTTGTGATAAAGTTTGCTGATGGAGGTGATCTAAAATCATTTTCAGTGAGGTCACAATATGTCTGCTAAAAGACAAAACGGCGACTACCCCCGAAAGCATTAAATATTTTTAAAAAATGTTTGTTAAATATCTGTAGCGACAGATTTTTTAATATTTAATAAATATACTTCTTATATATTGATAAAATATTCATTATAGATATTTGGAGTATATATATATATATATATATATATATTACAGATATTTTTGCCATATTTTTTCCAAAAATTTATAAAATATATGAGGAATCTTTATATCGTGATATAGGAGTAAATTAATGTCATTATTATTATTGATCCATGCACAGGCGTTCTCGTTCTATGGAGAAACTATATTTACTCAATTTATCTTACTTGTAATTATAGAGTGAATATGTAGATATTACTTACTACTATAAAATATTACCACTTCACAAAGCTCTAAGCAGTTATTTTAAATTATCACCGTTATACAAATACCTTCTTCTTTGAACCATTGCTGTCCTTAACAAGATTAGTTTTGTAAATTCTTTTCAACGACCTATACGTAATACTATGGGTATAAGTCGCTAAGAAAAAAAAAGGTCCTACTTATTTAGCATTCTGTTTTCAGTTAAACAACTCTTAAATTCTCGTGTGAACGTTAATGCATATTTCTACTACCTCCTCGACTAGAATAGGTTGGTTAACACGAAAAAGGTTATACGTATTAGAACTACCTCCGCTCTATTTTAAGGGGGTGTTACCTAGAGGTGACACTAGGCGTTGTGTGTAGTTAAAGCTGGAGTAAATTCATTTTATTAGATACCTTATGTATTCATTTGTAGCATGCAATAAGAAAACAATGCTTAATTACGATCTAGAGTGTTTTATCTCACTGTATATGTAAGAAGCTACATAATCTTGCATTATTTCAATGGTGACAAGCAGCTAAAGTAATTTCAAGTATTACGTTTAGCCAGCGTTGCCAGTAAATGAAAATTAAATAAGTGACTAATTGCCTATGCAGCCATAAAAAATAATACTCCATTGCAGGAGAAACAAAAATTAAAATTCGCCTTCAGGTGACAGTGACAATTCAAGTTTTAAAACAAATTGCCTAGCATATGATTTATCCTCATTAAATGATGCTTTATCTGGTCGAAACATAATATGGGTTATAGTTTATAGTTTAATCGATAATCACACTGCCTCTGTAACATATTAGTTAGGCTCACAATCTTAAAATTGTGACCTCGATCCTCACCTAGGGTAAATTTGTAGGACCTTGTTCAACATGTTAAGAAAATTCAACAAAAATCTTTCATGTACATAGTATTTTGTAATTTTCTATACTTCCAATCCTTGGCATGGTAAGAGAATATTTATTACCACCGCTTCCTAAGATACACATGAACTATATCTCTTCTTGCAACCATATTGTTCAGGGGCCGAAGCTTCTTGATGAGAGCTATTCATAATAATACTCATAATAGTATATATAATAAAACTCATAATAACAAAGGTAGTTAGGCCGTAAAGCGCCCAAGGTGTCTAGCTTATTCTTGTCACAAAAGGAATGAAGGTGTGAAATTATACTTACTATAGATACATACATATACATTAGTTACAACTAAAAAATAAATACAAGATACTATCGTAAGCAGTCCATACAGCAATTGTGGAGCTAGATGTTGTAAAATTGCTTGTTAGTTGTCGTAAACGTCAGTAGCTTAGTATGTGCAGCGCAAATAACTTTTTATAAGTTAAATAGGCGCCCGCAAAAGGGTGCCAAGGAGGTCGTGGCCCTCCTTCAGAATTCAATTGGGCATTGAAATTTGCATATTTAAAATTTTGGAGATTTTTAGGATGTGGCCCCTTAAGAAAATTTGCTACCCTTGTTCTTCAAAAAGTTTTGGGGGACGTACACTTTCACAGTAAGTTAGTTATCTCTTAAAAATGATCGGCTCTTCTGCCGCGCAGATGTAACCTGACTTTCTAAAGGCTGACTAATTAGCAGGTAATCTAATAAATGGCAATTGCACTCACATAGGAACAATGCTAACATCCATAAAGCTACCTGAAAGTCTCTGTTCATCCATGCACAGTAAAATGAACGCGTACAGTGATAATAATCGCATGGCCTGCTGTCACTGTGTCATGAACTAATGTATTTTTCATCAGAGCAGGCGGTGGATCCAAACGAGATTCCCTGCCATTTTTCACGTCTTCCCTGGACTGCCTTCCGCGTCGCATTTCCCTTCTTATAAAATAATTTTCACGCATGCCCGAGCTTCATCTCTATTAAAATCCTTTTGATATTGAAATCATGTGACATTCCATTAATTTTGCTCCTTCTATTCGTTTTTCCTTGTTAACTTTTCGTTTTGAATATCTCCGCGATATATTAAGATGGCCCACTTGTTTGTCTTTCGAGTGATAACTATGCAACTGACTATGTTGTGTGTTTGTTCTCTATTATATATTTTTTAAAATTTACTATCCTAGGAAGGGCATACTTTCGGGAATTTCGGCATACCCTCTGACTTTAACCACTAAGTAGCACTCACGTCCAAACGCACATTTGGTTCGATGGATGAAAGAGTTGTTCCAAGAAGCCATTCCCCTTGTCTTGTCTGTGTTCAAGTACAGGCAAGATTATTTGACACTGTGACTAGTGTAGTTGATAGTCGCCTTGCATAATTATGACCTTTACCTTAAAGGTAATAAGAAGTTCAGTGATTTTAAATTACAAACTACATCTTGCAACCTTATTTGAGTGGGTATGTGGGTATAGTAGATTTCAAAGGAGCATGAACAACTTTACAAACAAGCAGATCGTTAATGCTATTGCTAATACAAGCTATAAAATCGGAAAAATTAAAAACTATATAAAATGGGTAAAATATTAGCTTGTGTACTCATAAGTAGTCGCTAGAGTATCGTTAGTTCATTCCGCGCCTACTACAAGTGAGTCTGGACTGAATTTCAGTTAGTTCAAAGGTGACATTTTGTACAAAAACCTGCATAATGTTAAAAAACACCATGTCATAAATAATCCATATAATATCACTTCTTAAGTTACTTGATATGGGTGCTGGTTTATTTCCTGGATTTGTATCTGCTTCGTTGCATAATTTGACTCGCACACTGCAGGTGTATTGCTTATGCTCATACATTGACACAATTTGGAAGTGTCAGTTGCTAGCCTGTACTCCTCCAACCAGTTGATTTTTATAACAAAACTTTTGATTGAATTTCAGTTAAGCGGCTACGGCTACGATGAAGTTCTGATAATACAATGGGGGATGATCTGTCCTTGTAAGGCAGATGTAATTTTAAGGAATAGGCAAATCGATGTCAACAGGGACCAACGAATCTAAATAAATTAGGAGCCAAGCCCATATGTTTACATTGCATTTTTTGTCACCAAAATTGTGTAGTTTTAGAGCATGATTTTGCTTCATTTAACTACCATTGCCTACGTTATATCAACATAATAATAATAATGCTTACCAGTGAAAAGATCTACCTTCATCAGGATTATGCTGCTGGTATCATGTCTTGAGATCGTCTAGCACCATAGTTATCTGCAGACACTCGCACTTTCAAAAAATTTAACTTAATTTTCGAATCTAATGGTAAAACTGTCAAAAAAAGTAACTTCTCCAATCCCGACGACAATTTTGGTGACAACAAATCGTAGGCTTGTTCTTTCTAATGTGTCTGAATTCGTTGATCTGGATAGAAACAAATCAAATAAAAACGATGTTCTTTTCTTGTGTTTATTCTTAATTTTCCACACAAACAGCAGACACTATCATAAGAGACTTCAGGATTGGATTAGATTTAAACTCAAATGCTTTTTTAATAGATTGCCCCTAACTAACTGATTTGATCATGGTTTTTTATCTAAATACTACTATTTTGATGACTGGATAAGACGAAAGTAGAAGCTTAAACTTAAGTTGCATATCCGATAGATTCTTGTCATTTACTTTATCTTACCCTACATTGAACAGCTCATACATTCAGTTACGATGCAGCATTGGGTACATCCTTTTTCATGCAGGTATCCAAATCCAAAACTGTGATTGCTTTGCCCAAGGCGAGATAGTTTTGTCCTGATTTTACTACGCAATTAACTAGCGCTTCCCTTTCCTTTATCTCTACTTGGTCTGCATTTTCATCAACATACTTGCTACTGCATTCCTTAATCTCTCGAAGGATATCATCCGACATCTTCTTCGACTTACTAAAGAAGGGATATGGAAATCTTATTCTGATGAAGTCGTGGAAACTCAAAGGCTTCCGCAACGGTTGTAGCCATCTACAAGCAGTTGAAGAGCCAGGGATTGTGGTAAGCACTGCAACATAAGTAGATCACCTGTATAAATTATAACGTTCGAGTAAAGCTCAACCAATAGAAAGCACAAATAGTAATGAACGCGGCGAATGGAAAATGAATGGCTTTTCATAGGGATATAGTGAAAAACTAGTATACCTTGCCCGTCTTCAGCAGGTAGCATATAAGTCTAACGTGTTTGTCAGAATATCAGGAAATGAAGAAATCAACCAATTTGGCTGAGAATATATTCAGTTGAGAGAGGAGGGGGGTAGTCTTGGATGACTATTTAAGATACAGACACAAATATCTTGAGGATGTAGTCACTCCGAAAAAAATCAGGCACGAAAGATTATTCTTTGTTCATGTCAAGCTTTCGAATATATTTATTTTCCTCAACAAGATCAAATCCCCTTTCGAGACACGTAATCCAGAAATGGATAAACACCGTTAGTTAATAGTTAATCAATCGCTAATACTCAATAATCACAAATGAATAATAAATTTTATTAGTATGTTTTCTCCATTTTTTGGGTTGCGTATCTCAAACGATTTCAAGGTTAGCGTCTTGGTGAGGAAGATAAACACTTTTGAAAGCTTGTTATGAACAAGGCACATTCTTTCTGGCCTAAGTTCTTTGCATCGTGGCTGAAAACTCAAGATTTTTGTACTTGCATCCTCGATTCTGCGCAGATAGTAAAGCTTGGCTGACGTTCTCGATGAGACCTGAGATTAGAACGTGTGAACAATTAAACAAATCACCTCCTTATCTATAGGTTCCCAAACAGATTTTTGAAAATTGCCGTTTAAATCTGACTCTGTAATGAGGATAATAATGAGAGTTTATTTGTGTTAATACACATGATGTGCTTACACATGTCGGAATAAAATATGAAAAGAAAGATATAATAATAAATTACAAACAATACATTTTAAATAAGACATGGTGACGAAAAGGGTAGAAAATAAAAATAATAGGAAAGCTCATATAGAAATGAAGAAACGTAACTGTATCCACATGGTTATTACCAACAGCATGATTCCAAAGATTAATGGTAGTGGATTGAGTTTTGTTTAAAATTACTGTTACCTTGTTGCGTGGACAACACACAAGGATTTGCTAGCATGAGTCGCATCATCCAAGCTAGTAATGGAATCGTAAGCCGAAATAAGAGTTGTGTCCCCGGCGTATAGAGTTATTAGCTTGTGATTAGTCTTGTTTGGAAGGCAATTGGGCAAGTCATTTACATATAATGAGACTAACAAGGGACCGAAGACAGAACTTTGTGGAACACCATGCAAAACTATGCTAATTGAGGAGCAGCAGCCATTGTACTGCATGCAAACGAATTATTGTCTATCGCTAAGGTAGGATTCCAAGAACAGTATACCACTTAATTGAAGGATTATAATGATAGCTTCGAAGACTTTTTAAAGTCGAAAAAACAGCCCCTACAATATTCCTATTTTCAAAACCTTCATTAACTATATAGATGAAGTCATTTACAGCAGTTGACGTCTGAAGCCGTATTGACAATAATTTAAAAATTGTTGTATTCCAGATAATATCGTAATAAATGTTAGAGAGGGATTTTAAAAGCTTTGCCAAATAAGGGACGATTGAGATTGGGCAATGGTTCGATATTTCATGAAAGAATCTATGTTTGAACATTTTAACAACTTTGGCTATCTTAAGGGCTGCAGGAAAAGTATTTGGTTCAATACACATATTGAATAGCTTAATGAGAGGATACATTATTTATTACATTTAGGCCCAATTTCACCAACAACAGTCCGTTATTCTCCACCTATAGGGTAACAGACCGTCAGATACAGCGAATGAGCTTCAAGTTCCAATCAACAAATTTTAGCAACCAATAGCTATGACATGTTGAAAACAAAATACTGTCAAAGTATGAGATGACAACTTGTCATTGAAACATCACCAGCTTATTGAATATTAAGAAATTACATATAATTCAGTCAAAATTTTAAGAAATGTTTGATTTTTGAATTAAATTCATGTTTTAATTACTATTGTTGGTTTTTTATTCATGTTTATATTATTTTCTTCAATTGATATGTGATACTGGGTGTTTTTTCCTATAAACCTCTTGCAGATAGCCATTAAGCACCTACTTGATGACAGGCTCTACCATGCTATTCAATGACAACACGGTGATTTGTGTGGTTATCAGCGGCCATTTTGTGAGGGTGCGACAGGGTTGCCAGATTGTGCATTAATATCCCGTTTCACCCTCCTGGTCTCAGTGGAGTAAGTTCCGCCAACTGTTGAAATATACTCTAATATGCTTTATAAGACTATTCGTGACATTTTGCCCAAAATCGTTGCACAACACTTGAAAAAATGCAAATGAAAATTTAAAATTACTCCCTTGACGCCGCAATATAGCTCCGTCGGTACCTTGGGTTATACATCTTGACAGTAGGGATGTTCGATACGATCCTATATTTATAAGTACCAATACATTTCACGAGTATCGTCATCTTTCGAACCGGACTGTGTCAGAAAGAGTGACTGCCATTTGGCTGCGACATTACCCTGCCAAATCAGACATATCTTTCATCATTTTCAAAGAAATTGTACAAAATCTTCAAATTTGTGAAGTTAGCGAGTTTCACTTCATACGTTGTTACCAGACATGCCCAAATCATCAGTTGCTGCCGTGATATTCATCCCGAACACTCCATTACCACGGCTAGGCGACCTGTATGTTAAATTTGTATTGACAGAGCAGCGGGTTATCCTATAAATCATATGTCACAGTGTTTGTGCACTGATTGCAACGGTTAGATGATACCAAAAATATTTTCATAAATAGGAGATCTTTCCTATTCCGGATCGAATAATCTACCAAAGATGCTTATAATCATGATACCTAGTAAATTTTCATGAAAAAAATTCAAAACCAGCAAATGTAAAAGATTCATTTCGCACCCTCCACCACGGGACGTGATCGTCGTTAGACTTGGCAACCCTGCGAGTGTCAGATAGATATCCCCGCCAGTCAAAAAAGAAAAATAGACAAACAATAAATATTACAAGTTTTTTTGATTTTTGGACTTAAAAGCCATTATCTGTGAAACATTTTTCATAATTTTTTGTCTATGTCCATAGTAATTGCATTATGCATCAGGGAGATGTAGGGATTGACACGTCTTACACATATTATCTGTTTTAGGATGGAGAGGACATAATGTTTTTATTGCTTTGAAGAAATTCATTAACCCATAAATTAATAAATGATTACTATTATGACGTAAAGGAAGATGAGGAATTGGATGGAATGTATTTTATATTCTATTTTCTTGCAAAATACAGACAAATCCACACTATTCAACAGGTATGTAATGATAACTTTCAGTATATTGAAGTTGGTAAATTCAAGAGTGCCGTGGATTAACAAACGTCCAAATCTGCTGCCAAATTTAACAGCTAGAAAATCGACCTATTATTTGACGCATTCCCATTCGCTGAGGGGGATAACGGATTGTTAAATGTAAACCTATAACATATATCAAAATACATGAAAGTTCTCCTGTTTTTTCTGTACAAAAGCATCGTGATGGAATCAAAAAGTGGTCTTGTTCATAATACAGTCGAATTTTCACGATTTTATTCAATATTTCAATTGAAATCACTAATATTCAGAGACCTTTGATAGCTTCCGTCAAATTGCATTTCGATAAGGTATTTTCCCATTGGTCCATAATATTAATGTTGGTGAAATTGGCCCTTAATAGAGTTTTTAACCTTTTTTTAACTAACGGTTTGACAATGTGTCAACACGTGTATGTGAATTTCTTTTCTTAAAATTACCCAAGAAAACACCTATTACAGTCGAGCCAGACACATTATTAGCACCCTCTGTATATGAAGGTCAATTCGAAATTGTCGCCCTGTTTACGTCCTAATCTGCCATTTATTCTTTATTTTCGTACGTCGAACCGCACACATCGTGTTATTTATCTTAAGTTTTCTGTAACGTACTGGTCCAGAACTTATCGACAAGGAGAACAGAAGGCTTCATTTACGAAGACCTAATGCCAATCCAGACTTAGAGAGTTTCTTGTCTATAGTTGATCTATAGTCCATGTGTCATACAAAAAATATAAACAAATACATTGGCTACTTCACAGACTATACTATTAATATCTGCTAACTCAGCATAAGTATTTCTCTGCCAAGATTTTTTCTAGGCAAGTCTACCTTCCGTTGAAGCACTTTTGACCACATTCGAAACGACTATAACATTAAACGAGTATTGTTCCTACGTAAAAGCCCCTAAAAACAATTCGGATGGATTATTATAAGTAGTGTTTGTACTGACTGGTCTCACATTTCTGAAGTACTCACATTTATACATAGTGTCTCATACCAAGGTTGATTTTACCAATAAATGTTTTTTTTAATACCCAGACACCAGGTCATTCATAAACAGCTTTTTGTCGGTGAGCAGTGTTTCGTCCAAGTACTTATAAATCACACTGTATGCATTACGTATCAAGAAAAGCCAATATGTTTGGTAACACTTTTTCTATTAACAAATTATGTATAATTCACAATAATTTAAGCTAGGATAGCACAATCATTTATCATAAAGATTGTTGATACTTCAAAACTAGATGTTGATCTTGCACTCAGTACTTACCTCCGCATACTGTAGCAGGAAGAACACAAATCCTAGGTAAGCAAGCACCATCCTAAATTATAATTCTAGCACATATAAAAAACTGTAGCTATAAAAAAATCAAATCAAAATCTGAGTTTTCATATGCCGATTTGTGATAAGCATACAAAACTACATAAACACCCACACATGTAATAATGCTATCAGAGCAACGACTGCTAAATTGAAATATAGAAATGTCAAGG